ATCTAACGCTTTCTTACGCATTCTTACGTACTACTTAACCTATGTGGGACCTCCGCTTTCGGTTACTGCTACCCTTTCTCACTTCTTTCACTCATTCCCTCTCTCTCTCTCTCTCTCTCTCTCTCTCTCCCCCCTCTCTCCCCCTCTCTCTCTTCCCTCAACTCTCGCCCTCCCTCTTCCCTTCCCCTGTCATCTTTTCTATCTATCCTTCCCATCCTCCCCTTCCCCTTCCTCTCTTGCTTCCTCTAACCTTTTTAGCCACATTTCCCCTTCTCTCTCCTCTTCTAACACCTCCTTCACCATTTCCTGCCAGCTCTCTTCCCTTCCCCATTCCATGCATTCCTCCCACACATGCTCCCACGTCTCCATCCCTTCCCCACACATCCTGCACTTCCTATCCTCCTCCTTTTCCCAATATCTATTTCCCTTCATCCCACTCCCCAATCTATATCTTGCTATCCTCCTCCTCCATCTATCTTCCGTCCACCCTTTCTTCAGATAGCCCGGTATCCCCTCCCCTTTAACCTGCTTGTACCATCTGTTGTATTCTGACTAACCACTCGTCTATCTGAGTGCTTACCTCAGCCCGCTCGGCCATTCCTAATCTTCTTGGCCTAAGATAGACCGGTTCGTCATCTTTCAACACGAGTTTCATTTTGATAGCTATCTCGCGAGTCTGATTCGGCTTATAATCGCTTATTAGTGACTATACAATTCGTCTGTGTTCGGCGCTACGTACATGTGACACGTCCGCAACATGTGACTCTCGGTCAGAAATTAGGTTTATTTGACAAATTTCTGCGAACTCACGCTCGTCGTTAGCATAGTCTGCCGGTTTCACAATAGTAGGGTTTCCCGCGCTCTAAATTTACATTAACGGTGTCGAGAAAATCGTTACCGATCAATAATTTATACCTCGTCAAATTATCAGCAACAACATAGATCGGAATTTCGTAGCAATTCCCGTCGACCGTTAGTTTCGCGTAAAATCCCCGTTCGCAACATTTTCTTCCGTGCCTATTCCCCGGAATGGCATCGCCTCTAGCTCAAATTGCGGAGATCCTAATTTGACATATTCATCTTCGCGCATTATGGTGATATAGTGATCGCGCAGCTATTTTTCGTCTCGTTTCTATTCGGACATTTCGACGCTATATGCTCGTACCCGTTGCACCCGAAACACTTGACACCTTTTTCTTTCGTTGGACAAATCGAGCTTACATGATCTTTTGATCCGCAACTAAAGCAACGTCTCGTTATACCGCGGTCTCTCCCGTCGCTCGATACACCTTTTCCACACACAGCACTCTTACTGCCCTTGTCGTTTTTACGCTTTCCACCGTCGCCGTCCTTCGCGCTCGCCGCCGACGCCGGATACACTCTGTCTTTTAACAATATTTCTTCGAAGGCTTGCAAAATTCTGTCCATCGTCGTAAATCCCTGCACCCGCGCCAAGTCGCGTAAATTTGAATCTAGGATACCGTCAACGATGTATCTCAATATCTCGTCATCTGGAATGGCAATGCGGTTGGCCATTATCGTCTTCTCGTGCACATAATCGTAGAACGTTTCACCTTTCTTCCAATTCCGCTCCTCGAAGCGTCGCCTCATTAGTATTTTGTTTGGTCGGTGGTAAAACATACCCCGCAATCCGTCGAGTATCGCATCGGGTGTCATCTCGATATATTCTGGCTTTGAATGGAACCAGTTCCGACGCGCGTCCCTTTAATCTCATACCAATTAAAATTTTCGTTAGTTCATCATTCAGTCTGTACGCGGCTCTCAAAAACTTCACCTGTTTCTCCCACGTCTCGAAGGTTTCAGTATCACCATTGAAGCAACTCAGTAGATCTGCCACGGCATTAACATTCACTTTCGTTGGCCTTATGAGAAAGTCGTCTTCTTCGTTGGCTAATCGTTGATTCGTGTTCGACGCTCCTCTAAGCGTTTGATTATTACCGGACGTATTTCCACTCGACGCTACTGTAAGCACGTTTGTTGCGCCGCCACTCTGCATCAGGCGCAGCAACTCGATCTCGCGTCGCGCTAATGCAAGTTCTCGTTCAGCCAGCTCCTTTTCTCTTCAATATATTTCTATTTCTCGTCGATTAATCTGCGGTTCCCGTTGATCGTCTAACTCTTCCCGTGATTGTTGCATTTCTTCATTTTCGTAAGACGATCTCCCTTGGACACCGTCGTCGTTCCTGCTCGTAAAGTTCACCGTCTCCTCGGCCCTCGCACTCATCGTCTGCATCCATCCGCCACTCGGATCGTCATTCGTTAGCCGGTTTATAAGTTTGGCCTTTGTTCCCGCGGTGCTTAGTCCTTTTCGTTTTAGAGCTTCCTTGAGCATAACTGCACTGAACGTCTTCAGGTCGGCTCTGTCCATTGCTCGTCACTTCCTGCACCGCTCGTCGTATTATACGTCTTATTACACTCGATGGCGATCGCGTCGTCCTCGCGTCGCACCAATGTACTTAAAATCGTCTTTCGTTCTCGTCGTATTACATTCGATGGCGATCGCGTTGTCTTCGCGTCGCACCAATGTATTCGTAATCGCCGTAATTCAAATCTTTCACCGTTCTCGTCTTATCATCTCAACATGCCGTCGAGTCATCCTTTGTGTTGCTCTGTCCTTCGTAACAGCATACTTATTTTACTTTAATATGTGTTTTTGCTACGCGAAGACTTTAATTATTTCCGCGGGATCAGGAAGACAGGATTGTGAAGCAACGCTCGGAGTAAAAGCCAAGATACTTTATTTAGAAAACGGTTAACAGTATATAACATATTCGTATTATGACCGGTGTGAACGACATCTCAAGAACGACTGCCCTGTAACGCTTGCTCCGACCTTTTGCGACGCTCGCTCCTAAATCCGAAACCATCGCGGGTCGTCCACGCGACAATATTTATGTTATTATATAGGCCGCTTCTCGTTAAACTCCTACAATAATGTATATTACAAAAACCATTCATTTTAGGCAATTTTACACAGAAAATTTAAGTTTAAAATATAAATTGAAATATAAATTAGAAATTTCTTCTATATGCGAGTATTATTCTCGTAAAATTTAATTTTTGAATTCATAATATTAATAATTAAATTGTTTAATTATTGGTTGTCACAAAATAATAATTATAATTCAAGATAAGCAGTTTGATCATCAGTAAATTTTGAAATCAAGGTTGATAAGAATTAAATCGACCAACTGGTTAAGGTGTTGCATTTAATGTATTAGCAACGTTTCGACCGCTATATCGGGTCCTCTTCAGGCTACAATAAACAAAAAATTTTTTTACAAATAAATTGAAATTTAAGACACATCAAATCTATGTAGGATAAATTAACAATAATAAATGTATAACAACGCACTAATAAATTATAAATATGAAATAAAAATGAAATAAAATGTACAAATAATTACACCTAGTCATTAAAATAATAAAAATATATCCAGTGCAAATAAAATGAGTATTAATCTAACAATTAAATAATCTCGAAATAACTTTAGTGTAGAAATTAAAAGTAGATGATCATAAGTGATTGTAAGTTGCAATTTTATCGCCGAATTAGTGCATGTCGTGTTGAGTTAAATTACTTTTAATTCCTACACTGAAGAAGACCGCGTGCGGTCGAAACGTTCGTACTGTATTATCTTATATAGAATAAATACTTAGTTTATATCATCTAATAATGCTCGATTATTTGGCCTTTTTATATAATAATAATTATAGTTATTAAATATATGTATCAAAAACAAATATACAAAAAACAATCCAATGTTTAAATAACATTTTTGGAAATGTTTATACATATTTATTACATGGTTAGAGCTAATTTTCTAAACCAAATTGACTTTATCATTTTATTAATTTGTACCGTGTTATCTTCTCTCCGAATGCGTTTCTCAGTTGTGCATCGTAATCAATTCAGCTTTCAGCAGTAAAAAAATCGTATATAGTTTAATTTTATTGAAAATATATGAATTTTGATTAATTAATTAATATAATAAACTTTCGAAATAAATCTAGGAAAATTGAAATAGACAAAAACTCCCATGTATGTACGTGTACAGTCTAAGTAAGAATCATTTATGTGCGTATATGTAATAAATAAAAATTATTTATGTTCAAAATATCGCTGCATGATCTGCGCACATGATTTAGATAAGAGCAGTTATTGGAATAATCATTTTGATGCTCTACATGTTAGGACGAGCATCTTTTCTACCAATCAGTATGGTACTATTTGAAGAAACAACAACGCGAAATTTTTTATCAACGCCGGGAAAGGTAATTAGAATGTCTAAATACGAATGCAGATTTTAATGTTTGTCCTTTAAAGTATTTAAGCAGCGTATATACAGTGTGTTAGTCTATCGCTAAGAGTTAAACTATTCCATTGAGTCCGATGAGTATAATCAATACTCATTGGACTCATCGGATGTGAATATTATATGTACTGCAATGTTGTTTTATTTCTTTTATTTGGTGCGCTGTTTTAATTAACGATAAAATTTTCTACAATTTATTTTTTAAAGCTGTTTATAATTATTTATAGTTGTCGTGTTATTTATAGTAGTCAAAGAATTTAAGAAACACATGTGCAATGCACAAGTGCTTTGAAAAAGTTTTTTAAAAATTAAATTATTGAACATTTAAAATGTATACAAATCATGCAAAAAATTACGTCGGAACGAAAATCAGATTCCAAATATTAGGAAAAACCTTAAATCATCAGAAATATGTGATTAAGTATCTAATTTACAAGAAAACTGTGTTCCTATAACGTGCCGCTGTCACTTTCGCATCAAGTATAAAGTGAAATAATACTGTCTACTCCATTCTGCCAGAATCCTTGAAGTTGTACTGATTGCAATCTACTATTAACGGAAATCGTATTTAATTAATTAATTATGAGAGGCTCAATTATGAATTGTCATGTACGTAGTTCGACCCCCACGAAATAACATACTGACTTTTTTTCAGATAAACAAATGGAGTATCGAATGTGAAGACAAAACATATTGGATACAATTCGTAGAGGAACTACAAATCATCTCGATTAATGCCGAGAATGTTTATCTAACGATATCTTGCAAGACATATCTATCATTAACTCATCCTGATGATCTGAACGAAGAATTGCAATCGCTAAAGGGTTATTCAACAGAATACCCAACCGAAAAGTTCTGAAAGGAATAAAAGTTTTGAAAGTATGATGTATTTTCGAAATATAGGTCAAAAAGTAGATAAATTTTTAAAAAAGGTAAAAAAAGGTGCTAAGTCCGCGTAACGTCTCTGTAAAAACCTGTTCTACAAAAATTAATCATGGACACGAGCAATTTTGCGGTACAGAAAAATATATAAATATACATTTAAAACTTCTGACATTAGAAAAATGTATATTTTAATTCTACTGAAGGAGTATCCTTCCAGAATACTCTTTCAATTATCTTTGATGTAGAACCTTCGATAGCTTTTTTTAGACGGACATCCTCGTTTACAGGAATTGGTGCGTAACGCGTCTGTATCCAGCAACCTGGACGCACCGGAAGGAGGCTTCGACGCGATCATGCAAGCAATAGTTTGCCGGAATCAGATAGGCTGGCGCGAGAAGGCTCGCCGGTTACTGGTGTTCTCGACTGATGCTGGTTTCCATTACGCGGGTGACGGCAAGCTGGGTGGTATCATCAAGCCAAACGACGGCCTGTGCCACCTGGACACCAGGGGCACATACACTCACTCGTCTTTGCAGGATTACCAGAGCATCTCGCAGATCAATCTGAAGGTGAAGTAGAACGTCATAAACATCATATGGGCATATGCATATAATTTACATGCACAAGTATTATATAAAATGATTACATTAGAACAATTAAGGATTAATCAACATGTACACGGAGAAAATTTTCTTTTAGAATATACTCTGAAAATCATGGTTATCGTTAAACAATATGATATTGGAAAAGAATTTTATATAAGAATTTCTCTGATTATAAATATTTATTATAATAAAAAATATTAATATGCGTACATAATAAAATTAATCGAACATATTTTATATCTTATTGTGAATATTAATATTTTTTATTGTGATAAATATTAATCAAAGAAACTCTTATAAAATCTTTCCAATATATTATATTGTCCCATGATTATTATGATTTTCATGGTAAATACTAAGAGAAAAATCTTTCTGTGTGTATGTGCTATTTAGAGTTTATTTGTTATCACAGTCAAACTCACGCGCAGCATATCAGCAATAATATCTATACCAAACAAATCGTTGCTTTGTGTTTTCGATTATAATTTTTTATTGCACAATGTACCTACTCGAAATATGTGTGCAATTTGCAATTTATATATCTATAAATATTGAGATGAGATTCCAGTTGATTTTCAAGAATTATACTTATTCTAAAGCTACATCTTTTCTAATGAATCTTCTTCGAATTTTAATCAGTTATTAATATAATCATAGTACGCGCGCGCTATTAGAATGAAGTTGCCGATATTTGCGGAATAGCGAATAACTTAAGTCATTAACCGAAACACCGCGAGTACCAAGCAGTTTGAGCTGCGTCCCGTTGTGATTCATTAGTAAGCATAATTGTTTTTAACCTAACCTTTGTATTGTAATATTTATCAATCGCATATCATCATTCAAACGTTCATATGTCGTAATAATTGTTCGAAACGCATATTTCTCGAAAAATTCGATGCAAAAAATCTGTGCCAATATATGATTAACATAACTTAACCTAACATTGATCTGTTTTCGCGTGCTGTTCGAAAGAGAATCGGATTCCGTGAGCGCATCCCTGTGCTTGACAGCTATGAGAGTGAAATGCCGGAAGGAAGCAACAGAAATAAAAAAAGAAATAGTGCGACCAAGTTAAATCACAGTGGACTGTATTTGATGAAAGAATGTTCGGTACAATTACAGTGAATCGCGCCCGAAGTCTGACTAACGCGAGAGAATAGCGATCTGCGTGTGCCTTCTCGAGAGATCGACAGTGAAGTGACGCTGGATTTTGCGACTCGATTCTCACGACCTTCGAGAAGGTTCGGGGAGGCGATTTGGAATTTTCTATTTGAATCTCCTTGCCTTGTGATAACAGCGGGCCTCTCGAAAGTTGGAAAATAAAGCCGTCTGTTTTGACAATTATTGTTTGCACACGGGCTCGTTGCCTGTGTGTGTTTTGAGCGGCCGCGGCGCGCCGCCGAAAAAACGCGCGAAAACGAGTGCAGGGCCGTGTTTGAGGTGCGGGCCGACCCGCGCACAGAGCAGTAGCAATTAAAGGGCGAATCGATGATTGATGCGCAGGGCCCAATTGCATTGCTGACCAGCAACCACACACACACTCACACACACACTTCAGTCATTGAATTCGCAACACGTGCACAAATGTGTTGCGACTCGTGAATATTTCCGTTTTTTATTTTAGCTTGCATATTTATATCATGTATGTTTTGATATAAAAAATAATAAGATTGCTCTAATATATATGTATTTTTTTTTGTTACAGATAGCTTTGTTGATGCGCACGAGTTTGCGAGATTCTTGAGTGTCGAACGGACGTTACTGCGCGCGATTATAGTTTTCGTATTTTTTTTCAGTAGCAATGTACGCGAAATACGCGTGAATCACGCGTCGTGTCGGGAGTGCCCTGTAAAGTATCGCGCGTCGGGAGTGCCGTGTAAAGTGCCGGGCGATCGTAATTATTCGTGTTTTCGCGAGTGTTGAGAGTGCTACGAAGGATCAAAAGAGGAGGAGGAGGCCCGGAGAGGCATCGGGCGACAGTGGAGCAACCGTGAGGTATGCAAAATAAAAATGTTTTCTAAACTGCATTATTTAACACACACACACGCACGTGTATAATACATAATTTGAATATTTTGTTTTCAGATCAATGAGCTGTAGACTACAACTTCGCTACTGCACGTGTCGGTGAGTGAGAAATTGTTTATTTTATATCATTTTTATTAGCGATAATGAGAGTGTATCAAACTGGTGTCTTACTTCATGGATATTTATAAATAATTAAGAGTTTGACTTTAGCTTCAATAATTTTTGGGAGTTCTTGATAATTTAAACAATTATTTCTAGCCATTAAAGTAACTTTACGCAGCATCTTACTGTCTTACGACATTTTCCTTATTAAAAAGTAATTATCAGAATTTAAAAAATTTATAGGTACAGTTCTACATGAAGTTCTAAAAAGAGTTCTATCTTCTAAAAGCAAAATAATATTAAATAAACTAAAATAAAACTAACCGAATCCTATCTCTATAGATATTGAGATGGATTTTTCAAGTAAAATTCTTATTTAAAAATTTTTTAATTGTTTTAATCAGATCTCTCTGATAAAACAATGTAGGTATATGCCCAGAACTGTACGCGTAGACTCCAGAATAAGTAAAACTTTTTTGGAACTTATATAGAACTATTTCGAGTTTCACGAAATGAAATTCCAGCTTTACACACATATTCATAAAAATAAATAATCCCTCTGAAAGAACTTGACAAATTTACACTATTACTTAAAATCATCTTATTTGATAAATATTTTTAATTTGTACATCTACAATTTTTAAATCGTGATAAATATAATTTTTCTCGACTTGCGCCATTTTCAGTTTATATTTTCTTGGCGCGTATTATCCGTCAGAATCAATTAAACATATTCGCGCAATTATTTTGGAACGGTAAATGTTTCTCCGGGAGATGCACAAGCCTCTTTGTTTCCTTTCCCTTCGCGAATTGCATCTCACGTCCTACGTCCGAATCCGAGTTCGCGGCTGATTACAGGGGAAAAGGCACCGAAAAGAGATCAACGCACCGATTCCCGCTGTTTCTCTCTTGCCGTGCCGCTTGCCGTGCGGCTCGTTCTTTTTATATCCCTCGTAATAATAATTACCAAGGCGCGCGTGCACGCGACGAGGAGAGTCGTGCGGTTGTGTGCGAAAGGCGCCTAAACTCGGCGGCGGAGACGCATGTGGAGTTCACGCGTGCGGAGTGATGTATGCTCCCGTGTGTGCGGCGAGATGCATAAGATGAGTAGCCTATATACGTCTTACATGCTCGGAGGCATCCTAAAGTCGAGTCTCTCGGCTTATGCCGTCGTCGCATGTGCACGCGAGCGTGTGAGTGCGTGTATATGTACGATGACACAAATGTATTACGCGGTTGTGTCCAAAGTCGGACACGCTCTCTATGTTCCTTTGACTTTGTATTACATGCCTCCCCGCTATGAATCGAATCTCTCGCTCTCTTGGAGGACGCGCGTTAATTCCGCTGCGGGACGCGCGATCGTGTAAAGTCACGAAGGACGTTAACGAGTCCGCCACACGTAGTTAAATCGGACCGCTTGTAAAATAAAGATAAAATGACGTCAAAATTTGATCTAGATCATCTATATAATTTTATTTAGATAACAGCAAACACTGGCTATGACTCTCATTCAAATTATCTAAACATTATTCTAGATAATTTAGAAATAATAACACTTAATTTTTAACCAAAGTAAGAAAGTTGAATGCCAGTAAGAGGAACTAAACCAATAAAATATTTAAACAAAAAATATTTAAACGACCAACTGGCTATTATTAATGGTGTTAATTTATTTGTGCAGCAACGTTTTGACCCTGAATTAGGTCCTCTTCAGGCTAATCAATACAAAGAAAATTACAAATTAGGTAATACAATCACATAAAGAACTCTAATAAATGATGTACAGAGAGCAAAGTCAAAAAATATAAAAAATTATCAAAGTTAATAAATAAAAAGTAACCTGATGTTAAACATCAATGTTGATTAATACATCTTAAATAATGAGATAGTAGGATAGGATAGGATAGTAACGAGTCGTTACTTTTCAGTTACTTTTTAAAAATAATTATACATTATTTTAAATATAAGGAGCTTTATGCACAATTACAGTCAAGTATTTAAAAAAATTCTTTAATGTAATAATTGATCGATTTGCTTGCGACTTTACGATTACCATCAATGTATGAACCCAAGAAGAACAGAAAAGTCAAAATGATGTCAATTTGATGTCATATTGACTAAATTTATGTCATTTTTTGGTCAATATTTAGTCAATATAATGTTAAATTGACATAATTTTGACCTTCTGTTCTCCTTGGGAAATGACCTTTATATTGCAAAAATATAATAGCCTTTCACGACATTTTTGCTGAGGAAAAATCATCTCTAAATAGACCAAAGAATCTGCCCTTAAAAGGACATCAGGTTATTTTGAATCACCCTGTATGTATATGTATATGTATATTTATATGTATATGTATATGTGTATATATATATGTGTATATGTGTGCATGTATGTACGTTATATGTATGTATGTATGTACTTTATTTTTACAGTTACACTGTTTGTTATCACGTTATCAAAAAATTTTCGTTCCATCTTCAGTTTTTCTTCAACTGCAGTAAAAGTTTTCTTTTTATTATCGATAGGGAAATATTTTGACATTGTTTCTATCACAGTAATATCAATGACGTTACGTTCATCATGCTTAATGCCTTTCTTTTCTGAACAATTTTTGATATTATGATATCTTGCTTCTTTGACATAGTATTCATTGCAGTCAACATTTTCTTTTGCATATCTATAATAATAAATTGACGCTAACAAAAAGTGCAGCTAAATTTTAATAATAAAAAAATTAAATTAAAAAATAGAATAAAAAAAATAAAATTATTAAAAAAGTAAAAAATTAAATTAAAAAAATTAAAAATAAAATTTGTGAAATATTATTTTCATATCTCGACATTTTTTTGCTGAGAATCCACTTACGAATATTGACTTGTTATGAGACACTATATATATAATGTAATAGCAATTTTTATTTTTATCTTAGATTTTAATCAGAACATATATCAGAACATAAAATGTATAGACTTACTAAAAATACTAAAAATACTAAATAAAAATTCTTGAGAGGTTATTGGATTCCAATTTTGAATATCCTCCTTAATTATTGGTTTTGTACGTTTTTCAGCATTATTGTTACTTTGTTTAACAATTCGATCTATAAAAAATAGATTATATTTTTTAAGTTAAAAGCGTTTTTATAACAGATATTTATTATAATATTATTATATTACTTAAAACAAATTGTAAATAAATAAATACATAAATTAATACCTAAGTAAATTCATTCATTTCTTTATTTGCCTCCTTAGGGATTAAAGGCGTTTTTAAGGAGCGTACTCAAACCTTTACATTCCTCCTCTACTACCTTACAATTTCAAATCCATTTCCCCTGGCGCTTTTTTCTGTTAGGAGCGTTCCCGAACCTCTACGCTCCCTTTTTGGTCCCCTCACCTTTCCCCTCTTCCTCCTTTTTCCGTCTTCTTCCTCCTTGTTTCCAGTTCCTCTCCTTCCTCTTCTTCCATTTTCCTCTTTCTCCTTTTTGCCGAAACTTGCCTCCCTTCTTTTCCCTCACTTCTCCTTCTCCTCCTTTGTCCTGGCGCTTTTTTCTGATAGGAGCGTTCCCAAACCTCTACGCTCCTTATTAATCCACTTCTCCCCCTCTTCCTTCCTCCTTCTTCATCCCTGTCTCCCATTCCTCCTTTTTCCTGGCAGGCACCGCCTACTCCTCCAACCTTATCCTTTCCTCCTGTTCCTCCTCCTCCTCCAACCTTGGACCCCCTGTTTAACGTCGCTTCCGAAAAACGTGAGCCCAGTTTCAACTTAATTGACATTTATACAGCTCTTGCAAGCCTTTTTATACACTTTAATTTTAAAAACAAGAAAGATAAGCATTGTATAGAATAAATGCAAAGTGTATGATTTTGTAAGTGTAATGAGATACCACAGCGATTAGTCTGTAATGCCCCTGAGGGATGTGTCTGTCTGTTTCTGTCATTTTGTCTCTGTCTGTGTCTTTTCGTCTGTGTCTCCGTCTCTGTGTCTCTGTCTAAGACTCTGTGTCTCTTGGACCCCCTGTTCAACGTCGCTTCCGAAAGACGTGAGCCCAGTTTCAACTTAATTGACATTTATACAGCTCTTGCAAGCCTTTTTATACACTTTAATTTTAAAAACAAGAAAGATAAGCATTGTATAGAATAAATGCAAAGTGTATGATTTTGTAAGTGTAATGAGATACTACAGCGATTAGTCTGTGATGCCCCTGAGGGATGTGTCTGTCTGTTTCTGTCATTTTGTCTCTGTCTGTGTCTTTTCGTCTGTGTCTCCGTCTCTGTGTCTCTGTCTAAGACTCTGTGTCTCTTGGACCCCTTGTTCAACGTCGCTTCCGAAAGACGTGAGCCCAGTTTCAACTTAATTGACATTTATACAGCTCTTGCAAGCCTTTTTATACACTTTAATTTTAAAAACAAGAAAGATAAGCATTGTATAGAATAAATGCAAAGTGTATGATTTTGTAAGTGTTATGAGATACCACAGCGATTAGTCTGTGATGCCCCTGAGGGATGTGTCTGTCTGTTTCTGTCATTTTGTCTCTGTCTGTGTCTTTTCGTCTGTGTCTTCGTCTCTGTGTCTCTGTCTAAGACTCTGTGTCTCTTGGACCCCTTGTTCAACGTCGCTTCCGAAAGACGTGAGCACAGTTTCAACTTAATTAACATTTATACAGCTCTTGCAAGCCTTTTTATACACTTTAATTTTAAAAACAAGAAAGATAAGCATTGTATAGAATAAATGCAAAGTGTATGATTTTGTAAGTGTAGTGAGATACCACAGCGATTAGTCTGTGATGCCCCTGAGGGATGTGTCTGTCTGTTTCTGTCATTTTGTCTCTGTCTGTGTCTTTTCGTCTGTGTCTCCGTCTCTGTGTCTCTGTCTAAGACTCTGTGTCTCTTGGAACCCCTGTTCAACGTCGCTTCCGAAAGACGTGAGCCCAGTTTCAACTTAATTGACATTTATACAGCTCTTGCAAGCCTTTTTATACACTTTAATTTTAAAAACAAGAAAGATAAGCATTGTATAGAATAAATGCAAAGTGTATGATTTTGTAAGTGTAATGAG